CTTCTGAGGGAGGTCTTCTAAGACCAGGGTCAAAAACAGGTGGAAATGTTTATTCCCCCTCGGAGTGACCCCTACAACTCATTAGAGAAACTCTTGGCTCATTGATGATTCAGCAAAACAGCTCCACCAAATGTATCTGCTACAGCTGTCTGGTTCTTTACTGCAGGTCCTGTGAATGTGTAGGCGTCATGCAAACTGTAAACAAATTTATTTCACTAAAAGGCACAAACAAACACGCCTAACCGGTCAACATTCTTAAGAATACCAACCTGCATCCCTGGCAGCCTTTTCTGCCCGGGCCTGCAGGACCTCGGCGCTCGGCGGCTCCTCTCTGCGGTGCTGCTGGGCCGACAAAGGCACCAGGGGGATCTCTGGAAGCTTCTCTCTCCACTCTGAGCCGTCCTGCTCGATCAGCAGCCGGGTGATCCTGAAGGACACGGATCACRGTTTTAAAAAGGAAGAAAGACAGGGACAATTTTGGTTTGTCTGCAGCAAGTCTTGCTGACGTACTGTATGATAGTGTCTGGAAATGTTAACACTTTAACTATGAAAGAATTCATATTAAAAATAAATAAATTCTACAGAATTAATAAGAAGCTAATAAAAAAGCTAACACCTTGGTGAATGAACTGGACAAGAAGTGTAAAGAGAACAAATAAAAGAAGGTAAAAGCTGCTGCCAGTGGATCATTATAGTCTTCATGGTAAGAGTGTCTGTTCATGAGATAGACATACTGTAAATGCAGACTGAAAACTAAGGCTCAAACTGAAAATCATGTGAAAATTTAAAAATAAATCTTGTGAGCAGCAGAAGACTGACGGACACCCGTCAATCTTTATATTTCTAGTATTTCTTCTGTTTTTACGACAATAAAAAAACAACATTGTTTTGAAGAGAATATTTTCAGCTAAAATATAACTGAGGTTTATTAGAGCTGGGTGTGTTCTCTTTCTGCACGCTGGGGAGGTCAGAGAGAAAAGGAAGAATCCTACAGCTGCGACAGACAGACTGGGTGAAAAAGAACAAAACTACGTTAAGATGTTAATTTTTAAACAAGCTGAAAACATGAAGGAGTAAGAAGAGTTTGTCTGCAAAGGATCTGGGGTTGGATTTATAAAACTGGCGTACGCACAATTTGAGTCCAGAAACTTGCGTACGCCACTTTT